TGAATTTTGGGGATTTTCAGGTGTGAATTTTGGGGGTTCCAGGTGTGAATTTTGGGGGTTCCAGGTGTGAATTTGGGGGTTCCAGGTGTGAATTTTGGGGTCTCCAGGTGTGAATTTTGGGGTTCCAGGTGTGAATTTTGGGGTCCCCCCCCAGGTACCACTCAGGTGAGACCCTCGATGACGTCATCAATGAACCATCGTTTAATGAATTCGTTCCCCAGGTGAGCCCCGCCCCCTGCGCTGCAGGTACCGCCCGGAAACGGGGGACAGGTGAGTCCAGGTGAGCCCCAGGTGAGCACAGGTGAGCCCCAGGTGTGTCCATGGCAGTCCAGGTGTGCTCAAGTGTGCACAGGTGAGCTCAGGTGTGTTTCAGGTGTACCCAGGTGTGTTCAGGTGAGCCCCAGGTGAGCCCCAGGTGAGCTCCAGGTGTGCCCCAGGTGTGCTCAGGTGTGCACAGGTGAGCTCAGGTGTGTTTCAGGTGTACCCAGGTGTGTTCAGGTGAGCCCCAGGTGAGCCCCGGTGAGCTCAGGTGTGCCCAGGTGAGCTCAGGTGTGCTCCAGGTGTGCTCAGGTGTGCCCAGGTGTGCTCAGGTGTGCTCAGGTGTGCTCAGATGTGCCCAGGTGTGCTCAGGTGTGCTCAGGTGTGCCCAGGTGTGCTCAGGTGTGCCCAGGTGAGCTCAGATGTGTCCAGGTGTGCCCCAGGTGTGTTCATGTGAGCTCAGGTGTGCTCAGGTGTGCCCCAGATGTGTCCCACGTGTGACCAGGTGAGCTCAGGTGTGACCCAGGTGTGTCCAGGTGAGCCCTGGGTGAGCTCAGATGTGTCCATGTCACTCCAGGTGTGCTCCAAGTGAGCCCAAGTATGTCCAGGTGTACCCAGGTGTGTCCAAGTGAGCCCCAGGTGAGCTCAGGTGAGCTCAGGTGTGTCCAGGTGTGCCCCGGGTGTGTTCATGTGAGCTCAGGTGTACCCAGGTATGTCCAGGTGAGCCCCAAGTGAGCAAAGGTGAGCCCCAGGTATGTCCAGGTGTGCTCCAGATGTGTCCAACTGAGCCCCAGGTGTGCCCAGGTGAGTTCAGGTGTGTCCAGGTGAGCCCCAGGTGCGCTTAGGTGTGTTCATGTGAGATCAGGTGAGCCGAGGTGTGTCCCAGGTGTGTCCAGGTGTGCTCAGGTGTGTTCATGTGAGCCCCAGGTGAGCTCAGGTGAGTCCAGGTGTGCTCAGGTGAGCTCAGGGGAGCCCCAGGTGTGCCCCAGGTGAGTCCCAAGTGTGTCCATATCACTCCAGGTGAGCCCAGGTGTGCCCCAGGTGAGCTCAGGTGTGCCCAGGTGTGCCCAGGTGAGTCCAGGTGTGCCTCAGTTGTGTTTCAGGTGAGCCCCAGGTGAGCTCAGGTAAGCCCCAGGTGTGTCCAGGTAAGCCCCAGGTGTGTCCAGGTGCATCCAGGTGTTTCCAGGTGTGCTCCAGCTGTGCTGCCCGTGCCAACTCCAGGCCCCGGGAAGGCCCCGCCCATCCAGGTGTGCACCTGGAGCGCCCCAAAATCCAGGTGAGGCGTCAGCTCCGGGGCAACACCTGGACACAGGTGCACCCGCGGTGCCTCAGGTGTGGCAGTTCAGGGGTCCCACACCTGTCCAGGTGTGCAGATTTGGGGTCTGTTCACCTGTAGCTCAGGTGTTGCAGTTCAGGTGTTTCTGCTGCAGGTTTTTGGGGTCCATTCCAGGTTTTTGGTGTCTGCACCTGTCCAGGTGTGCAGAATCAGGGTTCCCACACCTGGAGCTTTGTCCATGGGGTTCAGGTGTTTCTCCTGCACGATTTTGGGGTCCATTCTGGGTTTTTGGGGTCCACACCTGTCCTGGGTCACAAATTTCAGGTTCCCTCACCTGAGGCTCAGGTGCTGCAGTTCAGGTGCTTTTCCTGCAGATTTTGGGGTCCACACCTGTCCAGGTGCGCAGATTTGGGGTCTCCTCATCTGCAGCTCAGGTGTGGCAGTTCAGGTGTTTCTCCTGCAGGTTTTTGGGGTCCATTCCAGGTTTTTGGGTCCACACCTGTCCAGGGTCACAAATTTCGGGTTCTCAGACCTGCAGCTCAGGTGTTGCAGTTCAGGTGTTTCTGCTGCAGAATTTTGGGATCCATTCCAGGTTTTTAGGGTTCACACCGGTCCAGGTGTGCAGATTTCGGGTCCCTTCACCTGCAGCTCAGGTGTGGCAGTTCAGGTGTTTCTGCTGCAGAGTTTTGGGGTCCATTCCAGGTTTTTGGGCTCCACACTTGTCCTGGGTCACACATTTTGGGTTCCCCTCACCTGTAGCTCAGGTGTAGCAGTTCAGGTGTTTCTCCTGCAGTTTTTGGGGTCCATTTCAGGTTTTTAGGGTTCACATCTGTCCAGGTGTGCAGATTTCGGGTCCCTTCACCTGCAGCTCAGGTGATGCAATTCAGGTGTTCCTGCTGCAGAATTTTGGGGTCCAAAGTTGGGTTTTTGGGGTTCACACCTGTCCAGGGTCACCAATACAAAGTCCCTTCACCTGTAGCTCAGGTGTTGCAGTTCAGGTGTTTCTGCTGCAAAGTTTTGGGCTACATTTCAGGTTTTTGGGGTTCACACCTGTCCAGGGTCACAAATTTCGCGTCCCCTCACCTGTAGCTCAGGTGTGGCAGTTCAGGTGTTTCTGCTGCAGTTTTTTGGGTCCATTTCAGGTTTTTGGGGTCCATTCCAGGTTTCTGGGGTCCACACCTGTCCTGGGTCACACATTTGGGGTCCCCTCATCTGTAGCTCAGGTGTGGCAGTTCAGGTGTCGCTGCTGCAGAATTTTGGGGTCCAGAGTGGATTTTTGGGGTCCGCACCTGTCCAGGTGTGCAGATTCAAGGTTCCCACACCTGGAGCTTTGTCCATGGTGTTCAGGTGTTTCTGCTGCAGTTTTTGGGGTCCATTTCAGATTTTTGGGGTCCACACCTGTCCTGGGTCACAAATTTCGGGTTCCCACATTGGGAACTCAGGTGTGGCAGTTCAGGTGTTTCTGCTGCAGCTTTTTGGGGTCCATTTCAGGTTTTTGGGGTCCACACCTGTCCAGGGTCACAAATTTCGGGTCCCTTCACCTGCAGCTCAGGTGTTGCAGTTCAGGTGTTTCTGCTGCAGTTTTTGGGGTCCATTCTGGGTTTTTGGGGTTCACACCTGTCCAGGGTCACAAATTTTGGGTTCCCTCACTTGAGGCTCAGGTGATGCTGTTCAGGTGTTTCTCCTGCAGAATTTTGGTGTCCAGAGTGGATTTTTTGGGTTCACACCTGTCCAGGTGTGCAGATTTGGGGTCTCCTCACCTGCAGCTCAGGTGTGGCAGTTCAGGTGTTTTTCCTGCAGGTTTTTGGGGTTCAAAGTTGGGTTTTTGCGGTTCACACCTGTCCTGGGTCACCAATTTTGGGTTCCCTCACTTGAGGCTCAGGTGTGGCAGTTCAGGTGTTTCTGCTGCAGAGTTTTGGGGTCCAAAGTGGAATTTTGGGGTCCACACCTGTCCAGGTGTGCAGATTCAAGGTTCCCACACCTGGAGCTTCATCTGTGGGGTTCAGGTGTTTCTCCTGCACGATTTTGGGGTCCATTCCAGGTTTTTGGGGTTCACACCTGTCCAGGGTCACAAATTTCGCATCCCCTCACCTTTCTCTCAGGTGTCTCGATGCACACGCCGGTGCTGGTGCAGTTTTTGGGGTGCGCGAACCCCTTGGCGCACACCCCGCACCTGGACGGCGTCTCCCCCGTCTGCACCTTCCCGTGCACGCCCAGGTGGGCGGGGTCCTTGCACACCTGGTGGCAGTGGCTCACCTGAGCGCACCTGGCGGGGCCTG